AATTCGCTTCGATCCTACTGCGCATTAGCCACACGTGCGCAACGTGCGGAGTGGCTTCGAGCTTTCAACACACACACACACTTGCTCAGAAACATATTATCGAATTACTGATGTGGAATGCATCGCACGTGCAAAAACACCTCAGTAAACCTGACAGGAACGGTTGGATGATTAGAAGTGAGAAAATGTGTAAAGGTAATCTTTCTACGTCCTTGCTTGAAGGATTAACTTGTTCAGATGCAGCGCGTTCATCCTCTAGTGACATTTGTGACTCAGATTGCGAAAACCGTGCAAAACGAGACATTGGAAATCAGGTTGTTTGAAAACGGCGTGGTGGTTCTTGGGTTAGCCACGTCCCATTGCAGAAAATTGACATGAAAACCGAAGCAGGTACGTCGATGAGCGTCCCATCGATATCACAGGCAACTGATGAGTGTCTTTGTTAGTGCCGGTCTCATCAGTGCCCCCGGCACCCCCTGCATCTAGAAATATGAAACGGCTGCCGAAATCAAAGAGGAAAAAAGAGAAACCAATCATGAAATTCAGCAAGCGAGTTAGAAGTTTTACATCTTTTCAGATGTTCCACACACACACACGCCTCGCTGCCGCGAGGCTGTTTTTTGCAACTGCATAGTAGCTAGCGAAGCTCTTATCTGGTCCCTGAGACAGGATATAGCGATTGACGCAAAATCAAAATACAGGGAGTAAATTTGCAATTGAATTATCCGGTCTGCTCAGAACGACATCGGCAGGAAGTTCAGCTTGTCGTCAGTCATCGATTTCGGACAATTCTTCCATATTCTGTGCCTGCTGGGAAAGGACGTGTGTCGTCAAAGCCAAATGGCTGGCAAGATGGGCCAGGTCTGTTGCCGTGAAGACCTGGACCGGGTTGGTGCTTAAGTCATCTCCTGGATTTTCAAGCTTCTCAAGGATCGCAGCATTGGAGTCTCTGTCATTGTTGAGGATGTTCCGTAGGACTGTGGCCAGCTGGTGAATCTGACTTGGAACCGATGCCGTGCCGACATTGGCTGCGATGGAGTCAGTGTCGTCCATCCCTGATTCCGGTATTGATTCTTGGCTTTCGTCAGGGTGATCAGCATTGTCAGACGCTTGCGGATGATGTTGCCAAGAGTCGTTCTCATTGTGCACTTCAGGAATATTGAAGTGACGACGCCAGTAGTTGGCAAGTTGGGTAGATTGTTCCCAACTATTTATCCACCCGTGACGGTCTGCACGAATGTGACCAACAATACCATTGAAGAAGAACTCCGGTTGACGGTTTCGTTTCACACCGAAACAATCCACTTCTGTCACCATAAGGCGATTGATGCCTGTCTGATGAGGAGAAATGGCCTCTGTGAAGATGTGAGTATGGAGAACTCGATGCTGTTGTTCGATCTCCGCTTGGAGTGGGTAGACTTCTTCATGGATATGGTGGGCAGGAGCATCAGGTAGAGGAACTGACGGGGCAGTTGACGCATACCCGTAGTGATGAGTTTGAGATGAACTGCCGCTATGGTCTATCCCTGGATGGGATTGTGGGGCCAAATTGACCATGACGGTACTTGGTTGCGGTCTTTGACCTGAGGATGTAGCACCACTGCTAGATTGCCCCTCGAAATGGAGCTGACGACGTTGCATGCTCGTCGGTGCCCGAGGCGAGTTGATACCGGCGAGGAAGGAATCACGTTTTGTCATGTTAAAACTAAAGCCAAGAGCTGAGGAATGACACAGGGTTGAAGAGAAATCGTGTTAATGCGAAGTTAAGACCAACATGTGATGACGGAAACCC